TTTGGAATGATCAATACAGTTTCTTGAACAGTTTAATAGTTTGGATATCACCGTCTTTAATATCAAAAGTACACGTTAAATTTCAAAAGTACACGTCAAAATCTCCGCGATGACAACTGCTCACGAAGTAAGCGACGCGAGGGAACCAATCATCATCGCGGAAAAGCGACAACAATAAACTTCGAGTATCGATTTAACATGCCTTTTTTAAGAAAGGATTCTAATATCACATATAAAAGAGTTATTTTCGTCATAGTGCGCGTAAAATTCGATTTTATACCAGAATTTGCGAGAGTAAAATATGACAGCCATTTCCTAAGCTTTCGAGATGCAAATTCGAGGTGCAAACTCGAATTTTATACCCACTATGACGAAAAATTATGTTCGTAACATGGTCATAAACTACTTTTGCACCCTCCAATTTGCGGGAGTAAAAGTTGTTTTTATGCCCTTGTTACAAAACAGTTATGACATTTTCTATACATTTTTCATTACAAATTTTTGGAATTTTTCATTCTCAAAAAAGTCTGGAATATTCCCTGATGAATTTTAAGTGTCTTCTGTTACTGATACGTATTTTTTGGCACAGAATTATGTACAATGATTCACAATGGGGGCTACATTCAGCTTCACTTATTTGTATATTTTTATTTCTATTTTATTTCATATCAAATACAAGCATTTGCGACCAAGTACTAGTAGTATAATTTGCAATAAATAATAGAGGGTACAGTTCCTAAGAAAATAAACAAAATAAAAAATTAGAAATGTTTGTGAGCATTTATATTGATTCTTATACAGTGTTATATTACAGTTCTAATAAACTTTAAAGTATAAAATTTAAAGTATAAAACTTTCGAGCAAAGTTTTACCATCGATACAAGATTTTAGATCTAAAACCTTCTTTCGACTACAGTTTATCATCGATAAAAAATTTCAGACCTAAAACATTCTTTCGATAAGACTTTTATCATCGATAGAAGGTTTTAGGTCAAAAACATTGTTTCAGTCGCAGTTTCACCATCGACAAAATATTTCAAATACTATTTACCTGATGTGCCATCGGCACATACTATTGTGCATGGTAACTAGTTCCATGAGAAGAAAACAGTAAATCTTTAATAATATACAATTCATTTTATAAAATCGTATTTAATGCTATAGCAATAAAACAGTACACAATAATGAACCATTCGTCATACCCAACTTTCTGAATCTGCAATATACCAACGGTTCATTAATTTCCATTACTCTTTCATTCTCATTATCATATCCTATTTCAGATTTCAGACGTAAAAGTTTGTCATTGAAAGTTTCATTGCTGCCACTAGCTAATCAATGTTCACAGCTGTTACATGTGTCAAAGATATAAATTATACAATGTCAGAAGTAGATTTGGGAATATATTTTCATTACGCAGCAACACTTAATGTTGAAATTAAAAAATGCGATGTTTTTTTTATTACTCAAATCAATTGATGAGTTTCGTATTTCAACTAGATCCATTTCTGAGTGACTCGACTATTTCATTGGTGTGTATCAGTTAAAATGTTGGCGCAAACATATTTTTTTTCAGTATACTTACATTTCTCTTCTTTCTTCCGCAAAATCCATTGGTTCAGATAGCTCAGTTCGTAAAATTCCAGTATCTACATGTTGTGACGAAGTATCATCAATTGCAGCGAATGGTTGTAAGGAAACATTTGAAGGGGTTTCTTCATTGTCCTCTATCAAGTCGTTGTAGCTTGGTATTCTGAGTTTAAATAAATTAATATTCAGAAACATGAACAAAACACCAGTTTCAAAGACATATATGTTACAACATATACATAACTTACAACTTTCAAAGTGCTAAAATTACCACATTTTCAATACATTTCTTTTACAGTTGCGGTGGTAAAATGTATGGATTTTTTACGTACAATTACAAACCTATGTAGAATTACAAAGCCAAAGGGAGTTTATGGTTATTTATAATTTTCCAAATTACTTACCCAAGAACATTGTGTGCCGATCCAGCTTTTTCACATTCTGACCAATAATTGAGCATTACCTTGTTTCTAGTTTTCTGAAGGTCGAGATGAACGATTGGCACCGACTCCTTCTTCAATCTTTTTACCAGAGCTTTTCTTCTTGTGGAAACATATTCGTAGCAGTCATCTGTGAAATGTCTGTTACAGACAGCCGCTGAAAATAGCAGAAAAAACATTATGATGAGTTCGTTGAGAATTATTAATTTTTGGTACAGAATTATAGACCAATATCTATCATTACAACACTTTCAACATTTGTTTACGTTTCAAGTTTGTTTACATTTCCACACTCAGAAGAATGTTACATTTCATTGGCAAACAAAATACATACAAAAAACTCACAATTCAAGAACTTTAGAAACAATGAAGTAATTTTCTTAGAAACAGAAAATATTTGTAATTTTACCTCCTTTAAATTTAAACTCCTTTTCTCTGCGACAAGCAGTTACCCATTTTAACCTCATTTCTTCACTATGAGGAAATGCGTGGTATTTAAATTTCCCTTGCAAAGAACTGGAACGAGATTTGCAATTAACGACGGCACAAACAGGCATATTTGAAATATTATTGCATTAATTTTCTTCCTTATTTTCTTACAACATACAATTTGCGAGAGTACGCAAGACGGCAGGACAGAAAAAGTGAGAAAGAGTCTTCTCCCATCGGGCCTCGACCGACCGATTTAGATCAATGCTCATTGGTTGATTTTGCGCAACCGCCAAGTTGCTATACCTCTCTTATTATACCATGGTGCAGGACAGCGTTGTGCCTCAGCTGTATTGCGGCGGAATGGACGCCGCAGTGACAGAGCACATGGGGCAATGTCTCCGATATTCCACCACACCGCCGACAGCGCCTGTCCTCATCTCCCCTACGCCGCATGCCGTTGAGGAAAAGAACATCCAGACGGGCTTTGTGGATAAAGCGCCAGTCGGCAAAGCGGGTGAAGCTGCCGCCGCGCATAAAGTGAATTTTTTCAGAATTTTTGTTCAAAGTTTAGATTTTTTAAACAAAAAATTGTAACTTTTTAATGACCACTTCAACAAAGAAAGTGTATATACATGCTTTTTCATAGAATGATATAAGGAATCGAGTCTAACCATTTTCAGTCGCTAAAACGTTGGATCTAGAATTTAAAATATCAAAACATAGAACAAAAATTCTGAAAAAATTCTGCACGCTAAATTGGGTCAAAGTAAACATTCTTTGTCTCTTAAACTTTTTTGATGAAATCAATTGTTTTCGAGATAGAAAATGTCAGAGCTTGAAAAATGACTAGATTTACGATTTTTGTTCTCATGAACTAATTATCCAATCAGCACAAATAAAAAACGAAAATGTACGGCCAATCTTAAACTTTAATGAGCATTTTTTTAATTTTAATCCGTACTGTTGTTGACAGTGAAAACTCTATTAGAATGTAGCTCTGAATGCTCGTTCGCGGCGCGACAGCCGTCTCCAGTCTCAACGCGATTCATAGCATTCGCAGGTCGACACTGCATGGCAACATGGTCGGCGCGCCGACGTGGCAACGTAGCGTCGAGATCGCTCACGCGCCGCGGACGAGCATTCAGAACTTCATTCTAATAGAGTTTTCACTGTCAATAACAGTACGGATTAAAATAAAAAAAATGATCATTAAAGTTTAAGATTGGCCGTACATTTTTGTTTTTTATTCGTGCTGATCGGATAATTAGTTCGTTAGAACGAAAATCGTAAATCTAATCATTTTTCAAGCTCTGACTTTTTCTATCTCGAAAACTATTGATTTTATCAAAAAAGTCTGAGAGACAAAAATGTTCACTTTGACCCAGTTTAGAGTACAGAATTTTTTTTTAATTTTTGTTCAAAGTTTAGATTTTCTAAAATCTAGGTCCAACGTTTTAGCGACTGAAAATGATTAGACTCGATTCCTTATATTATTCTGCGAAAAAGCATGTATATACACTTTCTTTGTTGAAGTGGTCATTAAAAAGTTACAAACAATTTTTTGTTTAAAAATCTAAACTTCGAACAAAAATTCCGGAAAAATTCTGCACGCTAAATTGGGTCATAGTGAACATTTTTTGTCTCTTAGACTTTTTTGATAAAATCAATAGTTTTCGAGATAGAAAATGTCAGAGCTTGCAAAATGACTAGATTTACGATTTTTGTTCTCACGTACTAATTATCCAATCAGCACGAATAAAAAACGAAAATGTTCGAAAATTATCTAATTAATAATATATCAGTTACTTTTCACGGTAATATATTATTATTATTAGATAAAATGGTTATTTTTGAGTATACTTTTTTGAACATGGCTTCAATTTTTCATTCTTATGATATGATCATTAATTATCATCTATCATTTATGACAGATTCTCAGTGATTTTTGAAGTATACATAGAAAGACAGATTTCAACTCAATGAACCATTACGTGTTTGCAATGAAACATTACGTTTTTACGATATTTTATCGTATTCCGATGAAATCATACTCTCCTAACAGGAATTAAGCGACAAAGAATGGTGGAGAATGATATTATCTTTTCGGATAGCTTTTTCTTAAATTTTTTTCGTTTCCAGATTTAGGGAAGCGACAGATTACGATAGAATACATTTTCCGTAGATTTCCATACGTTTCATCGCCTCCTCTCTTTCGACATTTTTATTCATCGAAGTTTATTATTGTTTGTGTTTGTTTTATTTTGAAGTGTTATTATTACGTATCTAATATAATCACGAATGTGCATAGCGGCCATCGACGCGAGTCCTTTGGCGCGGTGCGATAAGATGTGTGAACGCCGATGCCGGGCGCTAAAGACGCGCTTTCCCTCCTATCTTTCCAATGCCGGCGCGATCATTGTTTGACAAACTGGGCCGGGCTACACCTCGAGCGGCCAGAGCGTTTCTATCGGAGCGCTCTCATTAGTACAAAATATCTCGATTATTATTACGAATTTCGTTAAACTCGTTAAATGAATTATATGTATACGGGTGTCCCATTTTAATCCCTCACCCGAAATATTTTGAAAAATAAACGTTTTAGAGAAAATGTTTCAAACAAAAGTTTTTCAGGACAAAGGGGGCAATCATTGTACATTATTGGTTCTGACCTCGAGGTCAATTTTCAAGGTTATTTGAAGGTGACATTGATTTTTTTAAATGGAAAGTCCTATTTTTGATACCGGATTCGGATAGAGCGGGAAATTTTACGTCCGAAATGGTAGTTTACAATTTGCTGAAGTGACCTTCAGAAGGTCAAATGTTGAATCGTCCGGAAGGTGTTTTCTTTTAACTTTGGATTCATGGACAAACAAATACTTGAGTAGGATTTGGTGCCAAACTTTTACCATTTTGACCTTGAGGATAATTTTCAAGGTCATTCGTAGGTCAAAGCGATTTCTTTTTTTAACTGGAAAACCTTACTTTCGTCGCAAATCTCACTGTGTCTTAGAATTGTTTTAAATACTTGAGTAGGCTTTGGTACCGAAGAACTGTTACCATTTTGACCTTGAGGACAATTTTTAAGGTCAATACGAATACCAATCCGGGATGAAAGGCGTTTAATTCGAAAAGTCTGAATACCGCTGGCGTTAGCGGTAATCCAACATGCACCCCGCGGAGGTCGCACAGTCGGATTTGCATGTCTTCGGGGTGCTTTGATCAGGTGGTTCCCCTTGCCGTCACCTGCTTGCGAGTTCGCGCGCGCGCGCGTGCGTGCGTACGTGCATGCGTGCGTGCGTGCGTACGTGCGTGTGTGTGCGTGTGTGGGTGTGTATCTAAGGTGTTGTCTAAAGTGTTCAAATGCTCTTCCATTTACCTCAATACATTTATTAATGCGATTATGGAATGACACTCTCACTCTTTGAAGAACATCAAGAGTAATCTCTTGGCATGTCTGTCGTATTCTTATTTTCATGTCCTCTGCTGTTGTTGGCTCTGTTGCATATACTTTTTCCTTCCTATGGCCCCATAGGAAGAAATCCAAGAGTGTCAGATCTGGGGATCGTGGCGGCCAAACTTGAATTGGACTTCCAAGGCCAATCCACTTGTTTGGGAATTGCTCATTTAAGTAAGCTGTTACATTTCGTGATCTGTGAGGTGTAAGAATGTAAGAGCTTACTTAAATAAGCAATTCCCAAACAAGTGGATTGGCCTTGGAAGTCCAATTCAAGTTTGGCCGCCACGATCCCCAGATCTGACACTCTTGGATTTCTTCCTATGGGGCCATAGGAAGGAAAAAGTATATGCAACAGAGCCAACAACAGCAGAGGACATGAAAATAAGAATACGACAGACATGCCAAGAGATTACTCTTGATGTTCTTCAAAGAGTGAGAGTGTCATTCCATAATCGCATTAATAAATGTATTGAGGTAAATGGAAGAGCATTTGAACACTTTAGACAACACCTTAGATACACACCCACACACGCACACACACGCACGTACGCACGCACGCACGTACGCACGCACGCACGCACGCACGCACGCACGCGCGCGCGCGCGAACTCGCAAGCAGGTGACGGCAAGGGGAATCACCTGATCAAAGCACCCCGAAGACATACAAATCCGACTGTGCGACCTCCGCGGGGTGCATGTTGGATTACGCTAACGCCAGCGGTATTCAGACTTTTCGAATTAAACGCCTTTCATCCCGGATTGGTATTCGTATTGACCTTAAAAATTGTCCTCAAGGTCAAAATGGTAACAGTTCTTCGGTACCAAGGCCTACTCAAGTATTTAAAACAATTCTAAGACACAGTGAGGTTTGCGACGAAAGTAAGGTTTTCCAGTTAAAAAAAGAGATCGCTTTGACCTACGAATAACCTTGAAAATTGTCCTCAAGGTCAAAATGGTAAAAGTTGGGCACCAAATCCTACTCAAGTATTTGTTTGTCCATGAATCCAAAGTTAAAAGAAAACCCCTTCCGGACGATTCAACATTTGACCTTTTGAAGCTCACTTCAGCAAATTGTAAACTACCATTTCGGACGTAAAATTCCCTGCTCTATCCGAATCCGGTATCAAAAATAGGACTTTCCATTTAAAAAAAACAATGTCACCTTCAAATAACCTTGAAAATTGACCTCGAGGTCAGAACCAATAATGTACAATGATTGCCCCCTTTGTCCTGAAAAACTTTTGTTTGAAACATTTTTCTCTAAAACGTTTATTTTTCAAAATATTTTGGGTGAGAGATTAAAATGGGACACATGTATATATATATATGGGCACATTTTTGTACAGTATGCTTTTTATGTCAAATTATATAACAAAATCATGTGCAGTACTAAAAACATAAAATGGGCCCTTCCATCGCCCATTCTCGTGAAACGCAACCAATGTTATCTTTTTCTCGTTTCTCCAATTGTATTTTATTCACGAGCAAAATATGTAACAATCATTTCTATTACAACAAACGCTTGTGGCTTTTATTTTTCCAGTTTCGTCAGACGCTTCTGATTTTTCTTACAATCAGTACCATCTGAAGAGACGCTTCTGATTGTTATTACAATCAGTACCATCTCAACAGACGCTTCTGTTTTTTATTGCAATCAGTACAATCTGA